ACTTTTAATAATTTAAATTAAACAGACAATTTGACTTTAAAAAATTTTAAAAATGAAGTGTAACATATTTACAGAAACATGCATAGATCATTTGTGAATGGTTCAATGAATTATCAAAAAAAAAGAACACAACTCTATACCCATCACCAAGGACAAGAAATGGAACATTATCAGCATCCCAGAAGTCTCCTTTGTGGCTCCTGTCAAACACAACCCACTTTTCCTCCCCAAAGGTAACCATTTTTGTGGACTAATTTAAATCCCTTCCTGGCTTATGTTTCTATCATTCTCTTTATAATGGTGGTAATGGTCTTTTTTCACAAGATGGAAACTCAAAGATATGTGAAACAGAGAGGGAGAACTTGGAGGGATGGTGGTAGGACTTTGAAAAACATTTAGCTATTAAAATATGGTGATATAAACATACTAGGGAATTGCTTTAGCGTGTAGGGCAATGTCTGTTCTTGGAGTTAGATTAGCCTGCTCAGAAGAGTTTGCTGAACATACCAAACCAAAAAACCAGATATTTTCCATAGGCAGTGAGATTTAGTTGATGATTCTCGTTACTGGAGTCAGCAGGATAGGAATCCCAGTTCTTCCACTGATGGTGTGATTGTCGATCGTGTGTACAGTGGGGTTAGAACTTTCAGTGTTGTTTTAAGGATTAAGATATTGTATATAAATTATCTAGCTCAGTGCTTATTTACATTGTAGGTTCTCAGTAAATATCATCTCAATATGTTCTTTTTTTCTCCCCAACTTTTTATTTTGACAAATTTCAGACCTGTGGAAATGTTGCAAAATAGTATAGCAAACAACCATACATTCTTCATCTAGATTCACTGATTAATATTTTTCTACATTTGCTTTATGTCTTTTTTTCTTCCCTCCCTGCTCATTAGAGAGTTAGTTGTAGACATCATGACACAGCACCCTTAACTACTTCATCATGTATCTCTTTCTTAGGACATTCTCATAATAGTGTTACCTGATTTCCCCAGTTATTGTCATATGTCATATAGCTGGTTCTTTTTTTTTTTTAATTTGAGATTCCATTACACTTAGTAGTAACACATCTTTAACCTCCACTTATTTAGAAGAGTTCTCCAATCATTTTCACCTTAAGATTCTCATTAAGGTCTGGATCCCTGTCGAGCTCTTTTATCTGCCCGTAATCCTACCGACTAGGCCAATTGTTGAGCTAGGGCTGGGTCTGGTGCTCACAGACCCCTCAAGCCTGTTCACAGACTGGGTCACAAGCCCTTCACATGCCAGGCTAGGTCCCCAGACCCCTCACACACTAGGCTGGTTCCCCAGACCCCTCACATGCCAGGCTGGGTCACCAGACCCCTCACATGCAGGTCTGTGAGCTAGGTAACTGGCAAACAGGTCCTTGGAAGCTGTAGGTTGGAGAGCATGGCTGCGCAGGCGGAGGCCCGAGGCAGACGCCAGCCAGGTCATGGCACTGGCCTGTGCATGCGTGCTAACTCCACCTACGCACAACCTATTTACAAAGAATGCGCTGGCACCACTCCCAACCAGACCTAAGGCTAGCAGGCCTTATTAAATTATTCTATTTTCCCAACAATCCCCATACTGTCCAGCTGCCAAAAAGAAAAAAAAAAAAAGAAAAAGAAGATTGTCATTAAGGTTTCTGAAGGGTTTAACCTGTTGTTTTGCAGAATGTCTTTCCATTTAGATGTGTCTGATTGACTCCTTGATTAGATGCAGGCTAAACATAGATGGAAGCACTTTAGGTGGAGTCGTTTGCTCTCAGTAATGTATTTCTGGAGGCATGTAATATGAGTTTGTTCCATCAGTGGTGATAATAGATATATTCTCTTGATTAAGGTGGTGTTTGCAAGGTTTCTAAATTGTAAAGGAACCTTTTCCTTTTGTAATTAATGAGCCATCTGTGGGGTGATATCTTGAGACAGTGTGGATATCAAGTTCTTCAGTGATCTTTCATCCAATGCTTTTAGCTTTGATGATTCTTACCTGAATCAATTATTACTATAGAGGTTGAATAATGGTGATATTCTGTTCCTGTTATTCTTCTACATTTATTAATTGGATTTCTTTTGTAAAGAAGAGATTCCCCTCCTCCCTTTCTTTTCTTTCTTATTTACTTATTATCAGTGTGAAGTCATCAATTCTTTATTCAGTCGTTATTTACTCTTGTCGTTATTCATTTTGCTGCTCAAATTGTCCTAAATTTGGCTAGTGGTAAGCACTTAATTATTCTGGGTTGGTACAATTGTAGCAAAAGTCAGCTTTCTCTAGTATTCAACATTTGGATCCATTTTGTAGCATCGGAATCTGTGAGGATTATTGTAGGTACCATCTGTTAGACGCTCTGCCTTTTGTTTGCTTTAGATAACCCTTCTGTGCTTATTTTCCAGCAAATCACTGAATTGAAGAAAGAAAACTTTAACCTAAAGCTCCGCATCTATTTCCTTGAGGAAAGAATGCAACAGGAATTTGATGGCCCCACTGAACACATCTACAAAACTGTGAGTGGCCCACTTCTCCTTCTGTCCCTTGGGCCTCTTCTTATTGTCATTTCAAGCAGAAATATGGTTATTATTTGTTCTCAGAGTTAGCATGAATAGATAGAGCTGCCTTCATTTACAATGAATTGATTATGGGGAGTGTAATGATATTAGGATGAAAGAAAAGAGGTGCATGATTAATTTTAAGGACATCTTTTACTCTCTTTAAAATCAGAATTCTGGTTTACTATCTGTATCTCAATTGCCTCTTTATCATTATTTATTATTTAGAAACAGACAGCGGAATTGTAGAATGGCTTGTAATTGAATCCTGCTGTTACCGACTAACTTGAGTAACTTTATTTATTTATTTATTTTTTAACTTGAGTAACTTTAGGCATGTCACTTCAGCTCTCTGGGCTTGCTTTCAGAGTTATGTGATAATTCCCATATCATAGGGTTATTTGTGTGGATTAAAATGAGATGTCAGATGAAAAGCTCCAGCACACATAGTCAGTGCTTGACGATTATCATCATTGTCTTATAGAATCTTCCTTTGGCAGCACAAAGTTAGGATTTTCAGTTTTTCTGTGATACAACTCTTCTGTATTTCTGTATGCTTGCTTATAACTGTCAGAAAAAAAAGTCTTTTCCCATTTGAAGTCTTGACCTGGAGGTCTTCGTCGGAAAACAAACCTTGGTTCTGAAAGTTGAAAAAGAACTTGGCTTTCTTGAAAAGACATGAGTACAAACAATATTTCAGTGCCCATTTCTTGGCTTTTTTAGTAGATTAGCCCTTGGCCTGGGAATTATTCCATCTTTTCTCTTCTGAAGTTTTCACCAGTGGAAACTTTTGAAGGAGGCAAAAGAACTCTCCTTGAATTTCAGCGGATGAACTTAAATAGACTTGTCTTGAAGAGGGATTGTACTATACTTCTGAGCCTTTTCAAGAATTGAAAAGCTCCCTTGTCCCTTAAGGCACAGTTTTTTCTTTTAGTGTGGGGGTGAAAAGGCAACAAGGATGTCCCCTTTTCTGGAAGGGAGTGGTGATATAATCAAAAATTTAAAGGAAAACCAGTAGTCTAAAGAGCATTTTTTAATGTAAGTATGTTGGTCATGTATCTCATCACTTCCAGGTGAAGTTTAATTCACATGTCAGTTGCTGACTCTATGTTAGGCGCTGTCTTGGGCATTTGTATTTTCGTCATCTTATTGTAATTCTCAAGGTCGCCCTCTGCAGTGGAGTTTATCCTCATCTTACAGGAAAGGAAACTGAGGCCCAGGGAAGATCAATAACATGCTTGATGTCATATAGCTACTATATGAGTTGGGTTTTGAGCCCAGGTTGGCTTACCTCATTGTATTATGCTGTTTCAGCTATTCTTTTCCACTGTCTGACTAGATAGCCTAATTTAATTGCCTGTCCCCTCCTTTTTTTCAATTTATATTTTTTGATAGGTACACATGGTTAAGAATTCAAAAAGCCTAAAGGCTGTACATTGAAAAGATTTTCTTCCACCTGTGTCTCCTGGTCCCCTAGATCTTACCAAGATTATTAGTTCTTTTAGAAGGAGAATTTTATGCATGTACAAGCAAGTGTATATATATATTTGTGTGTGTGTGTGTGTTTATAAGTGCCCTTTTTACATAAATGCAAGTATGTTCTGTTCTGCACCTTGTGTTTTTCATGTAATGATATCTTGGATATCTTTCCTTAATAGTAGTTTAAGAGCTTCCTCATTCTTTTTTATATCTTCATAATATTTTGTTTTATGCTTAGAAGGTGTCCTGACTTTTGGTTTGGAAATTACGATCACCATGTATATAAGTTTATAACTTGAGATATTTGGCTCGAGAAAAATAGTCTAATGGACGTATCAGCTATTCATTCTTTTAAATTTATTAGGTTGGGGTGCCAGTTGGTTTATCAGAAAATAAAGCACTTAGAATATATCAGCTCAGGGCCGGCCCGTGGCTCACTCGGTAGAGTGCGGTGCTGATAACACCAAGGCCGCGGGTTCGGATCCTATATAGGGATGGCCAGTTTGCTCACTGGCTGAGCATGGTGCTGACAACACCAAGCC